AACTCCTGGGCTCAAGCGAGTCTCCTGCCTCAGCCTCCCAAGTAGCTGGGAGCACAGGCGTCCACCACAATACCAGGCTATTTTTTGGTTGCAGCCATCACTGTTATTTGGCGGATTCGAACCTGTCACCTTAGGTGTATGTGGCTGGCGCCTTAGCCGCTTGAGCCACAGGCGCCGAGCCAGGAATACATTTTAAAATGCTCTCAAAACAAAAGAGAAAGACTTCTGAACCTACACCAGTCTCTCACCAGCAATGTCTTCCCACGAATGATAAGGATGATCTAAATAAATCGTTATAATCAGAATGCACCCATGTGCATTACTTACATAACTTAGAAACAAAAAGGCAAAGAAAACCACCCATCCCTGCCCCCACAGAACCAATCCTGCCGCTGCACTGGGCCATGTTACCGTGGCTGCTGCCAAGGCTGCAGGGTCGGCAGAGGCTGCAAACATGGACAGGGGGTCAGTCCCATCGAGGACGCTGCTCAGCGGGTCCACCATGGAGCTGGAGGAGGAGGAGGACGTGGAAGAAGTGCTTCCTTTCCGGTTCACTTTCTTTGTCTTTGATTCTGTGACCTGTGGGGAAAATTACTGGAGATAAGAAATGTAGGTCTCCCATGAGTTTTCCCAGTGAAAGACTCAAATAGGTTATTTCATCTCATTCTGTTAGCTGAATCGAAGGTTTGTTTGCAGCAAGAGCTTATCAATCTACAGAGAGTGCTTTTTTTTTTTTTTTTGTGATAAACTGACATGACTCAATCACAGCAATAATGGAAGGAAACGTATGGAGTTAAGAAATGTTAAAAAATTAAATGGTCATTAAATCCTAGCACTTTGGGAGGCTGAGGTGGGTGGATGGCCTGAGCTCAAGAGTTCGAGACCAGCCTAAGCAAAAGTGAGACCTCATTTCTACTAAAAATAAGAAAACTAGCTGGATGTTGTGGTGGGTACCTATTATCTTAGCTACTTGGGAGATTGAAGCCCAGGAGTTTAAGGTTGCTGGAAGATATGATGCCACAGCACTTTACCTAGGATGACAGAGTGAGACTCTGTCTCAAAAAAAAAAAAAAAAAAAAATTAATTGGGAGGCCATTATACTGAGATGGCTCCAGCACCCTGGGTTCCCATGCAACAAACCAAAGCCCAACTCCATGTAAATAGTACAGCAAATTACAAGTTTCCAGCTAATCTCTAACTAGAGACTACCAATCAGAAACTACCACCTAACTTGGAAGTAGGGAATTTCTACTTTAACTAATCAAATACTTTCTTTGTCTTATTCCTAAGAACATCTTATAAAAGTTAAAAGCTGTTTGGGCCTATCATCTTAGCACTCTGGGAGGCTGAGGCAGGAGGATCCCTAGAGCTCAGGAGTTTGAAACCAACCTAAGCAAGAGACCCTGCCTCTACTAAAACAGAAAAATTAGCCAGGCCTTGTAGTAAGCGCCTATAGTCCCAGCCACTTGGGAGGCTGAGGCAGGAGGATTGCTTGAACCCAGGAGTTTGAGGTTGCTGTGAGTTAGGCTGATGCCATGGGACTCTAGTCTGAGCAACAGAGTGAGACTTTATATTGAACAAAAAAAGTTATCCCTTCACACCTCCTCATTGAAATCCTGAACTGCTTGAAGTCTGAAGCTGCCTGATTCATGAAATGCTAAATGCTTAAATAAATTCATTAAAATTTTAATATGTCTAAATTTATCTTTAAACAGAAGGAAAAAGTAGGGCCATTACAATTTAGAAGGTGATTATAACACAATAAATACTCACTTGCACTCTGCTCGTTTTCTGATACAGAGAATTTCCTAGATGGCAGGAATATCTGTTCTAATGAGGGGACTCCTGGTGGGCTGCTGGATGGGGACTGGTCACCAGAAAGACCAACCCAGGATTCGAAGCCTGTTTGAAACTCCAGCACAAATTTTGAACACCAAGGCTCAGCAGAGCTTTTTGGTTGGTGAACGCACTAGTGTCAGGGGGTGGGGTGGGGTGATGTGCCTGATTCTGAAAGCTCTGCCCTTCCTCCTGAACCTCCCCTATGTGTCTCTTCATCTGGATGGTCTTTGCTTATAACCCTCACAATAAAATTGTAAGAGTAACTCTTTTTGGAGTTCTATGAGTCACTCTAGTAAATTATCAAACCTGTTGGGGGACTGTGGGAAATCCCTGGATTTGTAGCCTGGGGACCTCTGAATTTGCAGCTGGCACCTAAAGTGAAGGCAGCCTTACTGAAGGCCTCACCCTCAAAAACCTGTGGAGTCTGACACTAACTCTGGGTGACTAGTGTCTGAAATGAGTCGAACTGCGGCATAGGGGAGAGAGAGAAGCCCCTCCTGCTGCTGCACATTTATTGTTTTTGTCTGCCTGGTACCCGGGACTCTGTCTCCAAATTTTCCTCGAGAAAACTTTTTTCCCCCTTGTTCAGTTCCTATGGGCCTCGTGGGATGGACCCGGCTCCCAGGGTGGGCACTCAACCTAACCTAATTACTCTGCATATTTTATACCCTTGGTCACCAAGTCGATTCAGAGAGGGACAACTAACAAAACTGGGTCGATGCAAACTGCTTGAGAAAAGAAATCGCTCTGCTGTTGGCGCTGCTAAGCTGGCAGGATAAGCCTGGAGCTGCGGCAGCTATTCTGCCAGCACAGGGGGAATGAGTTCCTGGCAATGGAAGCAACTTGCTGTGGGGTCAGCCACTGCCACAAGAGAGTCTAGGGCCTTGAAGAGCCCTGGAAAGCTGAATCTCAATCTTGGGATCTTCTGCTTTATGTAATCATTTCCACACAGTCTCACATTCCCCGTGCTGAGAACTCGCACGTGCTCCCCCCATAACCACTGAGTAGCCGCTCCTTGCTAATGAAAGAGTGCTAACCCAGGAGAGAGGGACTGTCTATGTCACTTGCCTGTTTTTGTTTTATTTTTTAAATAAACTCATAGATAGACTAAGATGCTATTTAGGGCAGTGCCCTACACTGGTAATTAGAGGGATTCTTAATATTCCAAATAAAAAAATGAAGCAGCAAGATGTATTTTGTTGACACATCCATACAGGAACAAAGTCATCTCGTTCCCTTGACGACCTGACTAATATGAGAAAGTAGGGAGTAAACCCAGTGGTGGGCAGGGCCGACGCTGCAGAGGAGAGGCAGGGAGCACACAGGGTGATTCAAATATGCAGAAGCAGCTACCACGGCGGAACACTGTCTGTCATTTCAAGGGAGGAGACTGTCACCTAGAGAGACCCTTAACAAAACTTACAGTTATAGGTTTCAGAGGGTGATAGTCCCCGAACTCCAGTGGCACAGCCTCTAGGCGGCATGATGCAAATTCAGCTTTGTAGTTCCTATTCCTGGAATGCCTGGTAAACAGCAAAACATAGAAGCCAATTAACTGCTAGGGAACCGAAAACAGGAAGAACTTTTGCTGAGATTTTATAAATGTTAGGATAGTTTAAACCAGAACATACTTCTACCAAGACCAACAAGAAACACTAATTTTTTTTTTTTCCAAATCTAGACTTACAAGACCAGAAATCAGAAGGAAGGGACACTTGCCTAACATGACTGACTCCAGCTCCCCTCATCCAGCTTTCTCTCTCCGGCATTTGCTGATTCTTATTTTTTTCTATTAAAGACAGAGTCTCACTTTGTCACCCTTGGTAGAGTAACATGGCATCATAGCTCACAGCAACCTCAACTCTTGGGCTTAAGTGATTCTCTTGCCTCACCCTCCCAAGTAGCTGGTGACTGCTACAACACCCTACTAGTTTTATTTTTTAATTTTTATTTATTTAAAAAAATTTTTTTTGACACAGAGTCTCACTTTGTCACCCTTTGGTAGAATGCCATGACATCATAGCTCACTGCAACCTCAAACTCCTGGGCTCAAGTGATCCTCTTGCCTCAGCCTCCCAAGTATCTGGGACTACAGGCGCCCACCACAATGCCTAGGTATTTTTAGAGATGAGGTCTCATTCTTGCTCAGGACTTCTCTAAGTCCTGAGCTTAGGCGATTCGCTCACTCAGCCTCTCAGAGAGCTAGGATTATAGGTGGGAGACACCACATTAGGAAGTTATAAACCTTAAGCTACCAGTGGTCACAACGGAGAAGTTTTGCCTAAGAATGATGCCAGCCAGAAGAGCTGAGCAAACAGAAAGACCAGATGCTGAGGGCATCATTTAAGTGCCTGAATCTGGCTATAGCTGGAGGCAGCCAACCACCAGAGGCTCGAGTCTTTACATTCTCTGTTTGACTAAAGTTAATCTGAACTGGATTTCTGTCATTTGACATTGAAAGAGAAGAATTTTTCTTTTTTTTGAGACAGAGGTTCAGTATGTTGCCCTTGGTAGAGTGCGTGGCATCACAGCTCACAGTAACCTCAAACTCTTGGGCTCATGCGATTCTCTTGCCTCAGCCTCCTAAGTAGCTGGGACTACAGGCACCCACCACAACACCTGGCTATTTTTTGTTGCAGTTGTCATTGTCATTTTAGACGGCCTGGGCTGGGTTCAAACCCGCCAGCCTTGGTGTATGTGGCTAGTGCAGTAACCACTGTACTATGGGCATTAAGCCAGAGAGAATTTCTTAAAAGGAAAAAGATACTCTATGTTCAAAGGAGTAATAAGACGACTAGTATGTCTGGGCTGGCGCCTGTGGCTCAGTGAGTAGGGCACTGGCCTCATATACCGAGGGTGGTGGGTTCAAACCCAGCCCTGGCCAAACTGCAACAAAGAGATAGCCAAGCATTCTGGAGGTGCCTGTGGTCCCAGCTCCTTGGGAGGCTGAGGCAGGAGAATCGCCTAGGCCCAGGAGCTGGAGGTTGCTGTGAGCTGTGACTCCACAGCACTCTACCAAGTGCAACAAAGTGAGACTCTGTCTCTAAAAAAAAAAAAGAAAAAAAGACTAGTATGTCTGTACAAAGATGAAAAGCAGAAGACATAGGAATGTCTTTAAAGTACTGAAAGAGAGGGATTATGGTGGCTAGTGCCTATAATCCTAGCATTTTGGGAGGCCAAGGTGGGAGGACCACTTAAGGCCAGGAGTTTAAGACCAACCGGCCTAAACAATGTAGCAAGACCCCATCTCTACAAAAAATAGCAAATGAGGCAGGCATGGTGGTGCCCACCTGTGGTCCCTTCCTTGGGAGGAAGAATTGCTTGAGCCCAGGAGTTTGAGGTTGCAGTAAGCTATGAGAATGCTACTGTACTCCAGCCTAGAGGACAGATCAATGGCCTGTCTCAAAAAAAAAAAAAAAAAGGAAATAAAGTACTGAAAGAAAATAATTGCCAACCTAGAATTAGAATTCTATCCTACTGAAACTCTCCTTCAAACATAAGAACAAATTAAGTAAGTTTCCAGTCAAATGAAAATTGAGAACAGCATCAGCATCAGAACATTTCAGACAAAATGCTGGGCAGGACCTGGTAGCTGACACTGTACACCCAGCTACTCGGGAGGCTGAGGCAGGAGGGTCACCTGAAGCCAGGAGTTTGAGGTTACTGTGAACTAGGATGATAGCACAGCACTCTAGCCTGGGCAACAGAGACTGTCTCACCAAAAAAGGGGGGAAGGGACTAAAAGCAGAATAATGATCTCAGTTGAAACCATCAACCGTATGTACATATGTAGTATATATTTAAATATGTATGCATACATATGCATGTGTGTATACACATCTACATACATGCAAACACTAAAGAATAGCAAGCAGTACAAGTTAGAGTAAAACTAAATGAATACTGACTACAGAACGTAATAGTAATAGAACTCAGGTTGGGTGCAGTGGCTCATGCCTGTAATCCTAGCACTCTAGGAGGCCAAAGCAGGTGGACCGCTTAAGCTCGGGACTTCAAGACCAGCTGAGCAAGAGTGGGACCTCATCTCTACTAAAAATAGAAAAACTAGTCAGGCATTGCAGTAGGTACCTGTAGTCCCAGCTACTCCGGAGGCTGAGGCAAGAGGATCACTTGAGCCCAAGACATTGAGACTGCTGTGAGCTATGATGCCACAGCACTCTACC